TATGTTAGTTAAAGCCTTATTAAAGATTCTACAACTCCTCCCCATCAGTTAAACCTCATTTCCAGATTAAAAATTACTAGTGAAGGCATCATCTTTTCTAAACTAGGCATCAGCTTGGATGGATATTGAATACTTGCATATTACAGGTTCCGTTATATAAACAAATGGCACTCATCGAGCAATATCCAAGGAATTCATGCAAGGATAATCACAAAATGAGTCCAGCCTGACATTTCAATCATTTCCAAGCAGAATACAAAATCTTCACTTTGAACTAGACCTTTTTTCCCTTTGAGCAACAAATCGTAACAATGTCGAACAGTGTGAACGATGGAATTAAACAATCTTAATAGTCCTAACAATGTTAACCTGGAAAACTATTCAGGTTTCTTCAGCAAGTGAATCCAAACAAATTAACAATGGCAAACTTTAACGGTACACGAAAATCATGCATTCAGTCTTTGAGTTCTAGTCAGTTACATATATCCTAGAACCAATATCGACAAAGTTTGTTATGTTCGCGTGAGACCGTCGAAGTTCTGGTATTGGTGGATTGTTCTCGGTCTTTCCAAGCTCCACTGGTTTCACCGGTTCCTCCATCCTGCCGGGACTAAGCTTACTTTTGTTAATCTCCTCCATCCTTGGCGCAGACGGAGGTGTAACGGGATCAAAGACGTGTGTCACAGGCACCCAGCGACGTCGGATCTAGTCTACCCGTTGGCATAAGACACCGCCATCCTCAAGCTGGATAGCGTTTATGCAAATTACCAATTGCAGCAGTGATGACACCAGCAATCCAACGCGGATCGGCGGCAAAGTTTTCAGAGTGGACTGCCTCTTGAGAGTTGAAGGTGCGTTGTTTGGCATGCTTGTCATATTGTTCCTTCTGCTTCTGCTAACTACTCGTTGGCAATACGACGGGTGGATGTTGGGTCTCATTGCATCGGGTCCGGTATGTAGCTCGCGTTTCATCAACATCTCTGCTGGAGATAAGCCGGATGTGGTGTCACGCGGTATGTCATCAGAAGATGCGGCAGTTTGGTCTCCACCGTGCCCTCCGACATCCGGGTTTGAATGACTGCACCGCCCTTTCTGCCAGACCATTTGATGACGGGTGAAATGGACCAGACCTCACATGTTTGATGGCATCCATCTGCTGAACTTCTCGAGTTCAGCACTAGGTGAAGTTGGTGCCGTTATCAGTGACAATAATTTACGGCAGTACATTCTGTGTGTTGCGAAGGTCTGACGAAGCCGTTCTACTGTGCTTTGAGATGTCGTCGTGTGCATAGCATGGATATCTTGCCATTTACTATGCGCATCCACTATGACAAGAAACACCTGGCCCATAAATGGACCAGCATAGTCCAAGTGCAAGCACCACCATGGACGACTTGGCCACTCCCGTGGGTGGAGTAGAGCAACGGATGGCGATTTTCGCGAGGCTTTACAGAATGGGCATTGCTTGGTCTTGTCCTCAAGATCTTTGTTTATGCCTGGCCACAAAACGTTAACTACGAGCGAGTGATTTCATACGAGAGATATCAGGGTGGGATTCATATAGCTCTACAATGATCTGTGCTCGGCCTTTCGGAGGGATGACTACTCATGACCCCCACAACTTGCAGTCATCTTGCACGCTTAACTCCTATGAGCGTCAAGCATGTGGCTTCAGTCCGTGGTCCAGACAGTCTTGTAGCCAACCATTCATAACGTCAATACGTGTGCGTGCCAAGATTGGATCTCTACCGGTGCATGGAGAGGCAAATTTTATCTGGACTGACCGCGGTGGATTCAAGACGATCCATGATCATGACATAGTCTACTGGAACTGGGGTACAGTTGATGATAACCGGCAGTGGCAATCTGCTTAAGCCATCGGCATTGCTATTCAGGTGTCCTGGTTTGCACACCAATTGATGGTCGTAAGCTGCCAGCATAAGGGCCCAACGTTGAATTCTGGCCCCATGAGGGACACTGCTCACTCCTCACTGAACGACCTTAGCAGTGGTTTGTGATCAGTAGCAATCTCAAACGACGACCGTACACATACTGGTGAAATTTCTTCACTACTAGTCCCTCCTTATCCAGCTGTGAATGGTTTCACTCTGGCGGAGACAATGACCACGAGGCGTAAGCCACTGGGTGCTCGGAGGCATGCAATGGGTACTAGCACGGCGCCCACACCGTACGGGCTGGCATCATAGGATAATTCTGACGGTTTAATGCATGGGTCATAGTGCACGAGCACTCTGGCTGAAATCAGTTATTCCATCAAAGCTCGGGACGATCCTCATGTACCGGCTTCCATGACCAACTGATTTTTTTTCAGGGGTAGTGCGTGTAGTGACCCTAGAACTGATGAGAGATTTGGCAAGAAGCGGTCATAATAGTCCAAGAGTCCCAGGTAGGACTTCAACTCTGTCACATTACCTGCTACTAGTGCATACCGTACTACTCAAACCTTCTCTGCTGGAGGATGCAAGCCTGCTGCATTGATACAATAGCCAAACTATACCACCTCTGCGGCGAGGAATATGCATCCTGACGGAGTCCTGCACTCTAGAGGCGACCCAGGACCTTGTTGACATTTGCGACGTGCTCTGCATCAGTCCTGCCAGTTTACTAGCACGTCGTCAATGAATGCTGCTGCATAAGGTACGTCTGCCAAAAGACTTCCATTTGTCCGTTGGAAGATTGCAGGTGCAGCAGATACACTAAAGGGCATGCGCGTGTACTGAAATAGCCCCTTGTGTGTGTTGATAGTAGGAGTTCGCGTGACTTCCCATCGAGTTCAAGCTGAAGGCAGGCATGACTGAGATCTAGCTTTCTGAATGGCTTCCACCGGACATGGCTGTAACAGGTCCTCAACCTCAGGTCCGCGAGGTAACGGGTATCAGTCTTTGCTGACTGATTTACTGTGGTTTTTGTAGTCACCCCAGATCAGTGGTATACCGGACTCTTTCATCATGGGTCCAATGGGGGATGCCCAACGAGAGAATGTCACTGGTTCAAGTTCATCTTCGACCTATTGTTTCATGGCGAAGGGTACCAGTCTGGCTTTACTGATAGTTGACTTTGCATCACACTGATGTGTACCTGGTGACCTTTAGGTTTAGCAAGTTCATCTCGAAACAAGTTGTTGTACTGTCCAGTGATGTCAGTGGGGACTGTTATATGGTTCACCTGACGAATTGTGTGCCATGCTAACTGAAGACGGCGGAGCCAGTCCCGGCCGAGGAGATTTGGTCCCTTCTCTAGCACGATAAGAAGTGGGAATTGAGAATTTGGGTGGTTGTGCTCAACTCCAACAGTGCAACTACCAACTTCTGGTATTTTCTGCCCAGTGTATGTGCGCAATTCAATGTCTGTGTTCTTGCATTGGATCGGTTTGTTGTCGACAAATACTGACTAGAAGGCGTTTTCATTGAGGATGGAAACCAAAGCGCCAGGAGCGTCGATTTCCTCGATCACAGATTTGCCATTAATTGACAGAGTTACTAGTAACGGAGACTCTTTTGTCTGTGATGTCTTATGGATAGTGTAGTTTGAAGGCTGTTCACTCTCATCCACACCTTTCTTCTATGTATTGTGGTGCAACTGTTTTGATATCGATGTAGGGGGGGGGTTATTGCTCCAACACACCTTGGCCAAATGGCAGGTGTATGAGCGAGCTCGACAGTTCCGTGATGAGTAGTCCGTTCGCCCACAGCGATAGCATTTGCGAGATCCATTTGACTTCCCATGCGCTTGAGTTTAGCTTGTGGCCTCCCTCTTCCCTTCCTCTGGGCTTTTGCATTGCCGACTTTGTGCGCCTTATGTTGTTGGGGAAGTAGGGGACGCCCGGTACTTGAATGATGCTGAATATCCTTAGCATTCTTGGCAGACAGCTCCACAGCTTGAGCTATTTCCCAAGCTTTATCAAACTTGATGGTGGATTCAGACAACAGTCTACGTTGAATCTGATCATCATTGATAGCGCACACCAAGCAATCACGTAACATGTCACAGTGTTGCGCAAGGTGACGTGGTGCTGCAGTGAACTGAGAAATGGTTGCCTCACTTTCGAGTTAAACTTATTCTTTCCACTATGACAGATGGCTTTGGGCTGACATGATTCTTAGTGATTGAAATTAACTTTTCAAATGTCTTCTCACCTGGCTTGTCCGGCACCACTAAGCTAGCGATCAGCGTGAATGTTGTCGGCCCACAAACATTCAATAGCACAGCTTGCTTTTTACCATGTGTTTTCACATCATTAGTTTTGCTTCGAAAAACTGTCATATGGTCTACATAGACCCGCAGCCGCCACGTCTCCTACTCAGGCTGAAACTCTCCAATGTTACCGAAGGTATTCATTCCATTCTCGTCGCCAATTGTTGTAACCAGGCCAAAACATACACCTGGGAGTTAAAACACTGTTTAATTCTTACGTGTCACACTGGACGGTAGCCAAGTTCCAACACACAACTCGGCTCCTGAAGTTCCAACAAGAGAGGGCGCTATGACAGTTTAAGCGGTATCAAAGATACTACAATATTAAAGCCACCCTTGGAAGTAAATGCCAGTTATCGCCGCGTCTTATCCTTTTTTTGGATTAAAAAAAGGAAACAAAGCCAAACCATGGAAAGACACTTTACATAATCCATTCGGCATGGGTGAATCTGATATGTGTGAGATGGAAAAATTGTTTCGCAGGGAAAACAGATCGCATCTCGCATGAAAAATCAATTCAGGATATGCGCATATTCTGGGCTAGAATTGTGTATTCGTCTGCTCTTCAATATTTTTTTTTTGTAGATTTTCTCATTTTGTTTTCTTTTAATGGAGTCTGTATTTCAACGATTATCTCACTCAATCGATGTACAAGCCCTCTCAGGTGACTGTTAATAACTTGTGTGGGCCTCCTGAATTTTTTTTAACAGTGTTTGTTTTGCTCGTTCATCTGGCATCTTGCGTGTCCTATTTCTTCGCTGTTATTTCGTTTCTTTCTTCCAAAGCTTGTTCCGTGAATTGGCAGACAGGAAGTCGCTCGTACACGTTTTTCATCTTCGTCATGATCTTGGTGCTACCTCTGTCCATCATTGTCTTCTCGTACAGCCAAGTACTTGTGACTGTCAAGAAGGTAATGCAGTGGCGTAAATCTCTGCCGTTGACGGGGAATGGGGGATGACTTAATTAAAACAAAATTGTGTGGCTGTGTCAATTCGTGAAGCGAGGGATGGGGTGGAGGGGGGAATTGGTGCCGTTCATGACAGAATGTAGAGCTTCTGTGTAATTTTTCTCCGTTTTTTAGCACTGTTGAACGTATTTGGATGTTGTGAAGTTCCATTCCAGAAGTACCTCAAATCTTCCTGAAAGGGGGGGGGAATAGCCCAGCCCCCTGGTTAAATGTGTGTGGGCGGAGGAGTATACACTCTCCCCCCCAGGCTTTACTGCTCAGAGATAACACATTTGCTTACAGTCCAGTGCGTAAGTACTTGAGGTTGTTATTACTTGGCATTATTGACAAAAGTGTGTAATAACACAACCTTGTGGATGGAAATTGCTTTTGCCGGTAAGTGGTCCTTCAAAAACAAAACCAGGAAGTCCAGATTTAGAATATTTCTTGCTTTGATATGAGTTAAATTTCCAAATAAATCTGTGATCTTAAAGTGTTCCTGTCGATTTCACAAGTGCTGCACCATTGATATACATTGGCATACACTGATTTACCTAAAGGTTTTCAGCTATTTGATATAAAACATCGTTATGGAAATTACAAACATGGTTTATATAAGAAAAGGACAAATTTTGCTGATATAAGAAAAAGACAAAATTTGTTGATATAAGAAAAAGACAAATTTTATCGGAGGGGTAAAATTAGTGGTAATATTATCCAATGAAAATAAAGAATTTCTGATCTTGCGCCCCGCCCTAAAAAAATCCCCTTACACTGAATGATGTTGATGTCATGGCGTCACGTAAAGAACAACCTTGCCACGCGTCTCCATGCAACACGTTCAACTTTCGCCTTTTGTTGTGTAGACTTGAGTCGGCAATTGCAGATTTTGAAGTTTCTGAGGCGATTTTGTAGCCGATGCTTGGGATTGCTGTATATTTCAGCCGAGGTGCTTCCAGTATTCCAAACTCTTCGTGGAGCGTTTTCTCGTAATCATCGGCTGTAAAATGGTCACTGCTCGTTTGCCCTGGTCAAGCGCACTTTTTCTGTCCAGATTTTCTGTAATGCCATGTCTTTGGGGAACCTGTGCAGGCGTACACCGTCCTTTGGTGTATTGCTGCATCCTGCAATTATACATCTAGTCGGCATTGTTGCTTGCCATGGCCAAATTGCAAGGATTTTTTTTGGCACGATACCTCGGCAAGAATTCAGTCAGTCCACACGTAACGCCGGGTCAGTGACGCCTACTTTGAAAATCGGATTCTTTACGTGACGTCATTGTATGATGCATTACATCATTCTTTCAAGGTTTTCGATGGGGAAAGTGGGGGGCACGAAAAATGCTGAAAAAATCGTCAAAATCAGCCAAACCGATGGAAATAAACGAAAACGGACACAGTTCTTGTTTTTGTATTCAATACAGGTTTATTTAACACAGTAATGGTTCTGAATAGCAGAAAACCTTTACGTCTCCTCGCCTTATTATCGGATGCTGTTGGTTTATGCTACTCTTCAAAAATACATCGTTCCTATCAACGTCATTTGTTCTGAACACTATTTAGTTCCATGCTTCTTTTACGTGAAGATCAAATTAGACCAAACCAACAAAAATTGTTACTAATGACTATGAGGAAACTACTTCTCCCCGTGCCTGGCAAAAAATGATGTTGCATTTCTATGTACAAATGACTATTTCCTCGTTTTTTCCCTTGTTACTCCACAGATGGCCAAGTGCCAGGTTGGCAACCGGCGGTTCAGGCGAGCGGACAAGAAAGTTACCATCATGGTCGTGGTGATGATGATCACATTCATGGTATCCTGGAGTCCTTATGCTATCCTGGCGCTGTACTCTGCGTTTGGTAACAGTGCATACCTTCCGCCACTAGTCACCACTTTACCCGCCATGTTCGCCAAAGCATCAACTGCCTACAATCCGGTTATTTATTTTCTTCTCCACGACAAGGTACATCTACATCACGATTTTTACCGCACGACCCTCATCACATTGTCTCAGCACCATGTGTTTGCCGCTACTCCTAAAGAACGTATCTCTTTTCTTTTTACCACCGTCCTCAATGGGGAGCTGATGAGGGCTGGTGTCTTTCATAAAATTTTGTCCAAGTATTGATCTCAAGAAGCTTACGGGGAGCCTAAGATGCCATTTCAATTTATGCACGTCATCCTGAACGCGGTGCCATGTTTGTTCAGGAAAACGCTACGAGTGAAGATTATATACGCACCTCGCTTTTATCAGCGTGCTTCGGGATTTCTTCGAGGTCCTTTTTAAGTTTTGAAAACTCAACTTAGAACCGTTGGTTTTAAAGATACCTAATCTCAAGCTGCCTCTTGGCAGTGCGTTTATACCACACAGAACTATTTTTTAAAGGTTCCATGCGATAAGTTTTTCGTCGACATTGTTTTTCAACTTTATACTCTTTTCCAATTTTCAGTGTAATGGGGGTAAAATTGATTGAACACTGCATTTTTAACCGTTTACAAATTATTTACGTTTTACGGACAAATTGTTGCTATGATGTCATAGGGGAAGATACTGTTGAGTTTGAATGTTTGAAAGCATTTCCTGAGAAAGGGTTGTTCGTTTATTTTTTGGGAGGTACTTACACAACAGTGCATCACCAAAGAAAAGGAAGTTTAGGACAGCGAAGTATGAAAATCCAGCAATTCTTTTTTTCACAAATCAGCGAAATGTTGAGGTTTTCTCTGTGGAATGACATCACATTTATTTCACACATATGGGAAATCGCATCAGATAAACAAGCAAAGAGGCACCGCACTAACAGTAACTTTTTAAATAGCTAAAAAAATAAATTAATTGGACAAGGTGTATTTTCAAGAGGAGTGGTAAACAAAATTGTATTGCCTGGACTCGTAACGTAAACATCGCATATATCTTGAATAATGACATCAATACTGGCGTCGAAACATTAAACTCTCCTGTTACAAATTTTCACATCAATGTCATTTCGACTAGTTGAGTAGCGTATCCCTACCTATTTGTTACAGTTCAGGGAAGCTCTCTGCTACTTACTAACCTGCAGGAGGTTTGAAAGAAACCTTGCGATCGGCCCCACAACCAACCCGTGTAAGAACAATGCCATCCTACCGAGCACACTGAGGGCAAAACTGGGATTCCCTTTACGAGCCAAGTCTAAAGGCGGGGAAGAGAAGCTGCAAGCGGTAGGAAGCGTGCGTGCATCCCTTCATCCTCCTGGAGCAACGGTATAAGAGATTAGGACACAACAAGTCTCTGCAAGATTGGACACTGATATTGTTAGACTGCAGTGGCAAGAAACAAAATTACTGCAAATGCGAAGCTGGTTGTCAGGGCCCCAAAGGAGTTGCTGAGCAAAAAATATAGATTAAAAGAAAAAAAATGGTAATCAGTTACACGGAGCACACTCAGATCATTGCTCGAGCTCCGTGAAATTAACCCTACAGGCATTAGCCTTTTGGATCGAGTTCGGGGCCGCTCGTTCTTGACACGGGTTTCTTGTTCTCGCACTCGAACAGCGGGAACACGACCCAAGAACACTATTCTCGGAACAGGATCACACACCACCTGTAGGGCAATCTGCCGTCCTTTATAGTAAGCTAAATCACTCTCATGGTCATCAACTCTATCCACACAGGAATGAACTTGTGCCAAGTAACTAGCTTAGCTTAGTAGGTTGTAGTAGGTTTAATCTGAAACTAATGACATTATGGAACAATATTGTGTATAAACATATATGTCATCATGACAATTAACATCACGTGTTCAACATAAGCATATAACATACATGTACATGTAATTATGAACCAATCGAGGTCTGACATGTCCAACAGAAATAGTGATAATTATCAGAAATGTGATGCAATAATATCCCTCATTGTAAATGCAAGATACAGAATAACATAGACGTAATTATAGAGACCAACGCCCCAAGAAGTCATGAACCAAAGACACTCACGACACTGCTGAGCACAGGCTAAAACCAACAGCAAAATAGCATAAATGACGCTGATAAACTCCCAAAATCACCACTAAAAATGGCATTAAAAGAAGCAAACTTTAGTTCTTTTAGTCTCCAAACATTTCCAAACATGTCACAAATAGGCCTATCTTGCAAACGGCCCTACAATTTACAAAGTCTGCGAGCTGTGCAGTACCCGGGCCTCATATGTACGTACAAAACTAGTGTAAATATAGTGTGGCGACCAAACTTGGACCACGTGGGTGAGGCGAGGACTATTGATCTCTCACGTATTTTGGTATAGGTTCAACACAGAATAACGTCCAGCCTAATTTGGAGCGGAAAGGCCCGCTTTGCACCACCACTTCGTCAGGTTTTAGCACGAACACACGGAAAAACGCGCGGGATCTTGGTGATCAGCTGAAAAAATAACGAGATGGCCGACAAACTATTTTTGTATAAATTAACATTAATAATTTTTCACAACACACAAACGAATCCTCCCTTTTAAAGAGGAAAGAACGCAGCCTAGAATTACAAAGACTAATCCTTGAAACGTTACATAGACGCAGTTATGTTGCATGTTGCTTGTCACTCATAGCCCACGATAACCAATTGTATGTGTTCGGCGTTCAAGCGGTTGACCCACGAACAATAATTTGTGCAGTTCACGAACATACGAGAGCACGCTGCTCAGCCTTTGAAGCACAGCGGACACAATAGCAGGGCACTATTTGAAGTGGGTAAATTTGGAAGAAAGAGAAGATTTTACCAAAATAAAATAGCGCCCTCTTGTTGGGTCCACCACGCCTCAATTAGGCTAATTCTTAACTGTGCAGCGCCCTCTACACTGTCAAAGGTCGTTGTTAACCAGTTCGGTATTCCAACAGTGGGTGTCCAAAGTGAAAACCGACCGAGGTCATGGGACCAGCAATACACGATATCTACCCGATCAACACAGCCATACGCCGACTCACGCGTGCTTTTTCTCTAAAGACCCTCCCTTGTTGAAATACTGAACTGGCTGGAGGGGAGGGCGGGGGTGTTATTTATTTCTTATGTAGGCATAAAAGCATCTGCCATTGTTGTGTAACTTGGGTTGGCTATACCCCTATTGTAACACCTCACCCACAGAGTCTGTGTCTTGATTGGCCGAAAGTATGTCATGTGACACTTGCTACTTTTACCTTTTTTGTACCACCACTTCAAAAGGACTAACACATGCAGCCTCGCTTTGAAAAAGAACTATACCAGTAGCAACGAAGAACAGCATCTGTAGTAACAAAACCGTGAATAGTAACCAGGCGTGTATTTCGGCTCGTGGCGTAAACCTGTGAGTGAAGTGTTATAAAAGGAAAGAAAACTTCTCTGTCTCTTGATCTCATGGATCGGTGATCCATGAAGCATTCTAGTTTCCCTAAGTATGCTTCGCCTCGGAAAATATAATCCTCCATGGATCACCTCGGGAGGCAAGTTTACTACACCACTCGAAGCACTCAATATTTGTATATTATTAAAGGAGAGGTATTTCAAGATCCCTGCGTAATATGCTGCTTTTTTAATGAAAATTTAATGTCAGTCCGGTATAAATCGGGGCTGGTGAGTGGGGATGGGGCAGGGGAATGACCATAATCCTCACATTGCCCGATTGCGGACACTTTAGGGTCTGGACGCAATGCGCCTTATTACACTAAGAGATGTCAATGATAGCGATGTATATGACTGGATTCATATCCCTCAAAAATTACACTCAGCCGATACGTTTAAAGCTTTTGAAGTATTTGTTTTGCGACTAGAAATTTTCAAAATTGTCACAGAGTCGCCGGGGGGGTTGATTTAATTGCTATTCCCCCACCAGAAAGTTGGGGTGTATGTCGTTGCCGTTCTCCTGGGAATTATGCTTCTGTAATCATCAGCCTAATGCAGCTGGGATATGCGACTTCGGTGTGTCTCATCAGACTTGGTGAGGCCGTCCAAACGCGTAAGCGGCATATATCACGAGTGTAATTGTAGTTTGATTCCCAACATGACAATTACGTAATTTCCCCCCTTGACTTCTTCATCTCAACTCTTGCCGACAGCAGCACTGCTTTTGCCGACAAAACTATGGGAGGTGACCCCCGGCCCCCCTTACACATACACCCTGTAACGACGCCCGTGTTCAAAAGTATCACTATACACAATTTTGAAGGGTGTGCTGCCTACCCTAGTGATAGTCACGATCCAAAATATGTGTGCGCGTGAAACTGAGCCTCAGTTCCTGCAATATCCCTCGCTGTGCCCACTGGGGGCCTGCACCGTTGCAGATCTCGCCCAAAATAATGAGATGCAGGAGTTTGGATCACCGTCCAACAAGTAGCTCGAGGTAGGAAGTTTTCAACTCACAAAATGTATTTGTCGTCCGTAGTTTTTCATTCTTAAAAACCGCAGCTTGTGTAAATAATTATGTCAAAATGTTTCGAAAATACAGCCTGTAAACACGGGGGGAAAATAAATCAAAATTGAAGTAAAATGATATAATTCACACAGTCAAATTCAATCGTAGCTACGTGTCTAAATTCCAGGACTTTCATGTTGTGAAATTAGAGTTTCACTTCATCTAATACTGAGGTCAAAAACATGCATGCGAACATTAGTAAATGCTATTAACACGTAAACAGTGTCATTTTTAGGTACAAAAACGTCTCACCCCAAAAGGTGTGCATAGTATAGATATATTCAGTTCCGGGGACTTTTGTTTTTCTGCAGACTTGATGTAAAATTGTGTATGACTGAAGAAGATGCCCGGGTAACCGTAACGGAAGATATACCTGGGAATCGCAGTCGCAAGAAAGGTTGCTCAAAGCCTCACCAAAAGCTCCATATGAAAGTAGCGGAATTTGTTTTTCGAAGATTAAGAATACCTGAAGGAATGATCTATCACTCTTATCGCAGTGTAGAAACTCTACTCACTCACTTATCTAGTCACATTCTCCAACAAATGGACATCGGAAATGTAACAGCCACTGTATTGCTAGACCTATCTTCAGCATTTGATACAGTTGAGCACACGATACTGATAAGTCGCTTGTCATCACTTGGCATTAGTGGATCTACGCTGAAATGGTTCACGTCGTTCCTAAGTGACCTTTCACAATCAGTCGGCATTAAAGATGCTCAATCCGAATCAGTCCCAGTCGTCTGTGGTGTTCCGCAGGGGTCGGTTTATGGGCCACTACTCTTCTCCGAAAACACCAATCCACTTGGACAGATAATTCAGCAATATGGTATTAACTATCATTGTTAAGCAGATGATATTCAGCTATTCCTATCGTTCTGCCCAAGACCATCGATTGTAGCAGTTGCCATGGAAAAACGTGAGGCTTGTGTTGATCACATTAAAAGATGGATGAGCTTGAACTGTCTCCAGCTGACTGACGAAAAGTCAGCTAGCGTTCATGGTGTTTGGCAATAAATGTAACCTCGCTAGACTATATATTGCATCTGCAGTACAAGTTGGTTCTACTTCACATCCCTGCCTCTCCAACAGCTCGTATTCTGGGAGTCATTTTCGACATAAAACCTTCAATGCACACATTAAAGTCACTTCATTGGTTACCTGTACGGAATCGGACTACTTTCAAAGTCCACCTAACTTACCACATTCTTAATGGGACTGCACCTTCATACCTCACTGGTGCACTACCTCGATACAATCCAGCCCGGCATCACAGTTTGTCTCACTTGTCGTCCCTCGTGTGCAACGCTCATAGGGATCTCGGGCTATACGGCATTCTGCAGCAACACTATGGAACAGTTGGCCGGCACATTTGCGCTCGCCTTCTTCCTTGGACACTTCACAGAAACATCTGAAGACTCACTTATTTGTTAACTGATTGCTATAAGACCTTTGCATTGAATTTCTAATTGAATCATAATTCAGTCGGCAGCTTCCCTCCTGCTGGTGTTCTTTATTAAGGGGTGCAACAGTTGTTTTCAGTCACTTTTACTTGTACATTTAGTTGAGTTTGAGTCTTTTAATGAGATTGTTGACACCTTACAGTGGCTCAGTTAAAGTCAAACGGTGAAATTGTTAATGGGCGTAAAATATCCATTGTTTGAAGCCAGTTGATTGGAGAGGCTAGCTATAAGATATTGCTTAGCAAGTACTTGTGTTCAGCAGTATTTAGGCAAAAAGCAGTCACAGGCAGTGAACATTGCAGGATATTTAAGCCAGTAATCACTTTTGCAAGGCAAATGTTTTTTCTCTGCCTGGCAAGTTTCTTCAGTATCCAGTATCACTGGTGTAGCGATAGCAATCTCAATGACTTGATGACTCAAAGATAAATTTAAAAGTGAATATGTTGCATTTTCAGTGAACTTCGAGCATATTTTTAGCATAAGTGTTTTACCTTAAGTCCAGTTTGGTTGACTTTAGACACTGTAATTTGTGTTAGAAGCACCAATGTTATTAAATTCCTCGTGGAATAAGAATCTATTTGAAGTATGTGCAACACCAGTGTCTTAGTTCATGTTAGTTTTGTATAGGCGAATGCATAGATTTGTAGAAAGAATTTGAGATTTTTATAAGTTATTATTAGTATTTTTTAGTGTAAATGTGCCCTTTTTGATTCTTAAATGTTGTATCGGTTTTTTGATCTTTTTATATGCCATGAAATGGAGTATCTGCTTCATTGGTTTTGGTCTTAGGTTATCATGTTAATGTAATTGTTTTATTATTGGTATTAACTTAGTAACAAAATTATAGAAAGCTTTTTTATGTGATTACATTATTTTTGTTACTGGAAAGCGTCCTGAACATTTAGGATGGATTTGGCGCTATAAAGGATTATTTATTTATTGTTATTATTAATACCTCTCAGTTTTCAAGTCTACAGTTATGAACATCGAATCGTTTATATAAGGCTGAAGTTTTGAGTAATTCTGTTTTTAGTTAGGACATTAAATAAATGTCTCCCCATAGCTCATAGGCAAGCGACGAAGCCACCTCGAAGCCGTGTATTGAAAAATAGCCCTAGGCTTTCAACCACAAGGTGCAGCACCGTATCTCTATTAAAGTTGTACTTGTTTTAAAAAAAAAAAATTCGTGAATCATTTACAGGAGCCCGCGGAAAGTAACTCCCCTTAATGGATTTGGGATGAAGGCCAGCATCGGATAACCTGTCTTTGCCACAGATGTTTCATTAATATCAAAATGTTTTATGAAGATGGAAGCTTTATTGGAACAAAGCAACCAAAATATTAACGTGCTTGAGCGCAATTCCTTCGGATTGCATCAATTTATTATCATCCTCGTCGTTCTGTCGAAAACAGGTGCTCATTTGATTAGAGATGAAACGTGGGTTTATACGAATGCTAAAAGTCTCCAAGGCCCTGCACATGCATAATAAATTGCAAGTAAGATGCATACGGGAGAGATTTTACATATAATGCAACTTTCCTTTTAACACCGATGTTTATTGACGAAGTATTATCTTGGAAGTCGTTTCGAATGCATGAAAAGATTTCTGCTCGTCTCTGGCGACCCCCAATACTGTTGGATTGTAATCGTATGGCTTGTGAAGCATCATTGCATGTATTGTATTTATGGAGGACTTAACATTGTATTCACAACGAATTGTAAGGAAAATCTTTGGGAAAGAAACTGTTTGTGGTTCGAGGAAACTGTTGAACTTTATTGTTGGATGTTAGACAAACAGACGAGCCGGTGAAATTTTTGTCTGAACAAACTGCTTCTCTGGCCAAGTGCGACAGGTCGTATTAGTTTGTATACGCAAGTTCTAGTACAGAAGACCTTGAACAACGCACTGCAGTTGCAACTTTGAAATACTCTCTTTATTGTGTGTCATTTCTGCCAATGATATATGCTAAGTACTAAGTATTTTTCTGTACTTGGGTCATAAATACGACAGTTTAATTAAAGTGAAAGTTTCATTTTATTTTCATTTTACTCATTTTTTACATTGCGTAACTCTTCTGGCCTTATCAGAAGTGATAGCAATTCGATTTTTGCAAGTCCAAGTCAAGTCACAAGTGAATTTTCGCAAGTTTAAGTCAAGTCACAAGTCACTTGGTCCACTCACAAGTCAAGTCACAAGTCACTTGATCACAGGTCAATTCAAGTCAAGTCACAAGTCAATTTGGTCCAAGCACGCAAGTCCTTTTGTCCAAGTACAAATCAAGTTACGTTATGTGTGATTTTAAGCCACAGCCAAGTGATTCAGACGTGACCTTGGAGAGACAAGACCGAAGTAGAAGTCGCGAGCCGAAGTCTTAAGCGCCTTTCCATATGTCCGTCAATACTTGCGCCAAGCGTAGCGAATCCGTCAAAATCGCCGCCGGAGCGATTTTGACGGCCGAACGCAACGCACACGTTTGTTATGTTAATGAAGTCGATTTCTGCGTCCGTGAAAGTGAAATGCGTAAACGCATCGTGTACATACTTAAGGAAAGGCGCCTTTACGCTGATTATTTTAAGAACCCAAAGCTTGAGTTGATAAGCTTAATTTAAAACTTCTATGGGTTCGATGAAGTAATTTTACGACTTATGATGGTAACAAGTCATAATGTGCAAGTTCAACAGTAGCGATTCGAGTTCGACTCAAGCCCCAGTCAAGTGACTCTAGTCTACACCTCTGGGCCTTATCTACAAGGTGGGCTTACAGTATAATCCACGCTGAGAGTTTATAACCGAGCGTTTTAAATCGAGCGGCATGTACTAACATGAAAAATCAGATACATGAATAGTTAATGACATCCCTTGGGGATGAGCTTTTTAAAAGGAGCTATTCTGTGGCTTCTACTGTTACAAAACGTTACATTTACATGTAACTCGAAGATTTCGATGTCTGTATTTTTTAAAACTTGGAACGGAGAGTTAAACACGTTGATGGCGTCCGGGCAAGGGCAGGGTGTTACAACCTCGACTCCCCTCCCAGGTGACTCTGAATAGGACACTACATTGTAACATTTTGACTCTTTAATCTAATTTTAATAAATCGGAACATTAAATGCAGAGATGATGCCAAATATAGGACAGAGTTTCAATCGAAATTATGTATTTGGTATGAAACAAACGGCCTCAAAGGCTTGCTTTAATCGCATAATTTCCAATCTTCACCTATAGGACTGAGGAAAATTAATCTGCCAATCCGCGGAAAGAAGTGCAACAAAATACAAAGCAAAGTAAGGCCGTGTCCGAAACGGGCTTCCAGAGCTACGGCTAGGTCTATGTCTACGCGTCTCCACGCATTTCTAATGGAGTGAAGACCTAGACCTAGTTCTAGACAAGAGATTCGGATGCAGCCTTAGTCCTGTTAGGGTCACATGTTGTGCCAAACTATTTGGGGAAATCGTCTGGTGATGTTTGATTTAAAATTTAAAAATGGAACACTCTCCCAAAATCTTGAATGGGCTTAGTCAAATTTGATTGGCAGACAAGCCAATGAGGTCACACGATATAATCTTATCCATTCCAGAATATGTCTCCAGCACTGGACTACTTGAGTTCAAAATTCCATCAGCTCCAGTTTCTTCTGGAGGCAAAATGTATTCATTCAGTTCCGGCTGAAGTAGCAAAATTTATTCATGAGCTGAGATCTGAAACGCTTCTGTGTGGGCTCCAGCGCTTTTTGGTAATACTAAAATATAATGCTGACTACATAAAAGAGGAGAATGGAAGTGAAAATGAAATAATCCAAATCAACCACACGCTAAAATGGGCTACAATTTACAATACATATTAAGTTGGTTCTGAAGTGATAAACAATGAAAAGTGCACACGATGTGGATGCAAGCCAAGGTACTAATGATTCTCTACGCAGCTGACAGGAAGAAGAGGCATTTTTAGCAGAAGCTGCAATGGATTGTTAAATTCAAAGTAATAATGTTTTGAATGCATAACGTCAGTTCGCATGCCAGTCTTTGTTTCGTTGCTTTGGTGGTGTCCAAATTACTTGGCAACAGCTTTAAATAAGACGTATACCACTGGGAAATGTAAAAAGCCGTTCGTTGACGGTTTCCACATAGGTACACGTGCGATTTATATGTGGGCCATATGCTGAACAAAGAAAATGTTTGCTGCCACCATGAGTCGAACTTCATCCTTGGTCCATTGATAGTAGCATATTGCAGGAAACACAAACTGTAAGAACGAGGTATTGGACTGCAGAGAAGCACTTGCACATATGAAGCACCACTTAATAAAATTTATGGTTAAAAATTTGTATTCAAGAAGGCAGAACTGCGGCGGCTACCTAACGATTCCGCGTTGTTCCTACGCCGGCAATTAAAATGGAAATGATTGTAATTCAGCAATTTGTATGCGCTCGTAGGGACCACAACCCACAACTAGTACTGGTGGTCATTCTTGGCATCTTGCATTGGATCAGGTTTAATATTTTGTGATTTCGTACTCTAGCAATACAAACACAATTTGTAAGCCATCAGATGTAGATTTTATACGGTTTTCAAGTTTATTGCACAAAGAGCCGCACGCACTTTGCAATCTAGGCCTATTTACTGATGAGAAAAATCAAATAAAACAAAACCTTAAATTTAAATGTTACCAAACCAATGAATGAAACGTTCAAATAAAACGAGGAGAGAGGCTACGACAGATTGCATTTAAGATGAAAATAATACTTTAAATTCTGAATTGTTTACATGCAGTTCGTTTGCCGCAATGCTCAACCCTTCAAAATAGAGTCATTGGCAAACAAAAATTCATTATAAACTGCGGTTTACAATATCTGTATTGCGTGTACTATCATCAAAAGTTCTAGATCTGCAATAGACAAGAACTGTTTTCCACCAGTAGGGAAAGAGTTTGGAGTCAACTTTAGACCACCGAAATGATAACATTCACAAAGTGGCATCAACAAAACCTATGGAAAACGCGTTCTTGTGCTCGCTTGATATTCAGGGGATGATCGGTGAACATGTCGCCTTGAGACAAAAGGCCGTGCCTGCCTTCGAAGGAAAGCTTTGAAATCCAATCATAGAATGGATTCCCTGTCGGTATGATGACGGCATGTCATGCTGTGTTCAACAGGATTGTACTCAAAAGATCCGTGGAGACATTCGTCAAAACAAAGCAGTGTTTAACATAATCCAGTTTTTATCCTCTTCATGGCCGACGCGTCGGCCATCGCAACGGTGCTCACGCTCCTCCCTGGAGCGACACATTTGTATGACATTTGGCATGTATGGAGAACACACTCATTAGTTTTGGTGAAATTGACGCGAGGTGTTACTAAATCACACATTTCTTCACTGTGAGTAAGCATTTCTCCCTTGCGCGTGATCGTGGTAAAAGTTAACATGCTATATAATGCACCCAATCAGAATTTTTACAGTTTTTAAGACAAGGTTTTTAAAGATCTGTGTTCAGATTTTATAAAAATGTGTTCGTATCGACATAGGGGGGGGGTTGAAGAGAAGGAATTTTGTATGGGATTGTAATACTGGGGAATATAACAGGTCCCACCCTCCGCGCGCTTCAGCGACTCAGTGGGAAACTAAAGAACCAATCAGGCCCAAAAGGATTAGAATTCTGTCTCATTTTACAAAGTTGTATTCGCATACTTGTCTCAAGTAAATGAAAAAAAGTTTATGAAAAACCTGGGGTACCCAGCACGTGATAACATTCCTAGAAGCGGTGCCCGGGAATATAATGACGCCTCTGACTCGATGGTGGCTCTACGTTATTTTTCTTGCACCTGACTACTATCACTCACTTTGTCGAGCCATCATTCAAATCTAATCTAACAATTGTCAATGGAGATTAATCACAATGGCTGCCAGGACCTGAATTGTGACGCCATTCTCCGTTTAGGTTCTTCGGTACCTAAACGGCATTTTTTTTCTGGCTATTCCAGCATTAGACATCAGGAATTTTACTATATGTTTCGAGCATGTTTGAGGAAAAGTGTGCAAGGTAAGTTGAAATCCCAAACACCAGAAAGAAGAAAATTAGGCCTATACATATTCCCATTAAAAGCACTGCGCTAAAGTATGGTGCGATATGCGTTCTATTATGGAAGAAACAATCATAAGAAATCGTTTAACGTAGTTCGAAAAAGGATTGTCTTAGTTCTATTAAACTGTGTAAAGAATAATGCTTGGACTGAGATTGCAAATAATGATTATTTTGCCTCTTTTGCCCTGTATAAGGCTACTGCTGGCCGCAAATCTCTCTAAAATTGACACACGTCAAGGGCAAGTGAAAGTGTATCCGGTAAGAGCCCAAAACACTAACTTCTTGACGCTTTCCGAAGAATTTAAAAATTCCTTATGGCTTGGGATTGAACGATGAACACGTGACCCTATGAATTTACATCTATATATACGAATAAGAGTGTAATATGAAAAAATCCCAAACCGCCCTCTACCGGTTACCTGTGCACAATCCAATGATGTCATGTACCTAGTCAAGCATTATCCCGCCTAATTAAGAACTGCCGAATACAACTATCATAGGGGAGACGGATACACACCTCTTCAGATAACATCAAAATACACATTCAAAAGTAATGTTGAACAGAAATTCACGAGTCAAATAAGCCTGATTTGGGAGGGCTTTATTATTTTGGAGGGGTGTTGTTAACAGCTGAGGTGCAGCGTGCCCGTCCCGGGCAAGTGGTCGATAAACCGTCAAAGGTGAACGAACAGACGTACAATATACATTTAAATCATGAAGGATCTACCGCGCGCCCGCTGAATCTGATGCAAATCTATAAATGAGAATCCTCAGGTCAAACAAGCAGACACTTTTTCCTTGTCGCCGATTGAAACAGTTATTTGCACTGCTGCGCCTTTAGCCGACCATTCTGGGCGGGTTGCCTGTTTCAAGTTGGTTATCTGTCCGTGACACGCACCGGTCATGAATACCACATTGCAAAGTGGTGTCTTGAGCCCGACTGAGCCCAGCGGCACCTACGACGGAATTCCCCAGGCTGTCTTCGATGTCACCTCGGTCTACCTGGGTCTTCTCACCTTCTTTGGTATCTTTAACAACGGGCTGGTTCTCGTCTTGTATACCCGGTACAAGACCCTGCGGAATCCTGTCAATCTCTTCTTGATAAATATCAGCGTCGGCGACCTGAGCGTGTCGGTGCTCGGAAGTCCCTTCACGTTCGCCGCTAATGTTGCCCGGAGGTGGATATTTAGCGCCGGGGGCTGTACCTGGTACGCCTTCATCGTCACGGTTTGTGGTAAGTTTAATGATAATTTTGATTTCCACTTGACACCATCTACCCTCTTTCTGCCCCTTTGTTTAGCATGTCTATAACAAAAAGACCACTAGAGTGCCTATCAGGTTGGTCACTCCATCATATCTCAGCAACCGACCGAGTTAGTGATTATCAATGGAAATACAATTCAGTGGACATCATCTTTTGATCTTGGTCATCGTGGTTAGTCTACCAGGTGAACGTAGAAACTGAAGTGTCAGTTTCTATCACTATTTTGCAGGTAGTCTTGAATCATTTATTATTTATTCTTATATTGAATGAAGGTGTAAAAAAATCAATTATCTTATGTCAAGTGAATGAATGAGTTTCCAGCAATTGAAATTTTGTTCTATTTGGTTCTTTTTTCGCTTAGGCTGAAAGTAAATTTCCACTGTGTAAAACGAGGAAGTTGGTCAATTTAGTCGATACAGAGAGATAAATGGGTAACAAGACGGATGAAATCGGCGGGAAAGACAGTGCCAGAATTGTATCCAACCATCGTATTTGATTTAGGAAACCCGGAATATATCTTTCTTGTATAATTCCTATAAATATATTTGCGAGTGCGATTATACATATATTTTTGACCAGCTAGTGTTTGGGTGATTCTCTCTTCCTGCGACATACGTTACCAAAAATAATCTTTCGCAGGTTATTAAGGAGAGCTTGCATTGACGTCACAGTTAGGAACTTGAAGCGCAAACGAATTACTGAGCGCGACTCTTACTTCGTTTTATTAGTCTAGATTTGTTCGGATGGGTAAGCTTTTTTGAAATTTTTCTAACAACGGCGCTTCGTGGTTTAATAATGGGTTACTTTGTCGATGTTATTTTGCGTGCAAATGACCAAGACGTTGCTGTGACCTGCAACGTCCGGTTGTTGACAGGCGGACCATACACGGTGTTTCCCATTTGGCAGTATAATGCATCGGCTTCGTACACACTGACTAATCAAACGGCAAGAGCAAAAACTGCAGTTCAGCCACGAGCTTCTCTTACGATTGGAACAGCGGCGGATTGGGTCTGTCTCGTTTCCCATCAGTGAGCGTTCATTACGAGGCTTGCCTCTCGGTAGGGAAGACGCTAGTGGCGGACAGCTCAGCATGAACGTTACGAGCACGACCGTCGGAAACTACCCGCCGGTGCCCCTCGCCGCCTTCGATGTTACCGGGGTCTATCTGGGTTTTCTCACCTTGTTCGGTGTCTTCAACAACGCCCTCGTGCTTGTGCTGTACGCTCGGTATACGACGTTACGAAATCCCATCAACGTGTTTCTTGTGAACATCTGTGTGGCCGATTTGAGTGTGGCGGTGTTCGGTACGCCTCTGACGTTCGTAGCCAATATTGCAAGGCGATGGATTTTTGGTGCAGGTGGCTGTACGTGGTATGCATTCATCGTAACAACATGCGGTGAGTTTGAACAGAACGTTGGTATTCTCACAAAGTGGCAAAAACCTGGAAGAGAAATGATTTCCCGATCTGCAGTTTTTTCTACCACTATGGTACATTTGATTCAAAGACCAAGTGGACACAGTTTCAAGGTAAAATGATGTTTACTTTGAAATTCATCGTAAAAAACACACATTTTACGAAAGCTCGGTGTCTGTGTTCCTCTGTTTTAACAAAAGGACACTTAGTCACCTCGTCAGCCCTGTTGACGAGGTGACTGTTCGTCAAAAGAGAGGCATTATATTCCGCAGGAATCAGGATGCAAGTGGGACTGGCGAACGATGTTGGACATAAATACGTGGTCGAATGTTCTCACAAAGTGACAAAAAGAGTGTACTATGTAACAACAAAACTGACGACCTCCAGGTTTTGTTCTGACGATGTTATAAAGGTTTTTAGTGAATATCTTTTCAATGAAAATACTATATCTGGAGCTAAGCGTGGATTAGCTTTTTAAAAACCTTGTATTTCATGACTGTGCATGACATTTCTCTATCCGCAACAACCAATTAAGTCGACAATGCGTAGTAAAATGAGGATTATCATCCACAGTGTTCTCTTGGAATATCTAGTTTGCAATATTTGATCATAGACGAATCCCTGGAAAGGGCTGTTAGTAAATACATGACAACGGGTGCTATGTTTTATAGGGCACAGATGCACAACAGGATTGTTACATTTCAGTTGTTTGACAAGGGCCTGTTGTGTTCAGAAAGCTGTTAGTTTTTGTATATTGCAAGGTTATTACTGCCATAAAGTACCTATGACGAGTAGAATAGACTTGGCCACAACTTAATACCTTGGTCGTATTGATTGGGTCTGTTTTTTTACGGTACAGTCGTGTGTTTCCTACAAGTGGCTGCTAAGACTATAATTGCACACCAGTGAAAATAAAAAGAATAATTCGCAAAACGTTAATAAAAATCCCACGAAGCTATCGGGACACCAGAAAACAACTACTAAATACCCGTGTTAGAGTTGTACCCCAGAGTATACTCGGTCGGTACTCGATCATCAGTGCTCGAAAATTAATTGTACTTGGCTCGTACTCGATTCTTTGTTCTCGGCTTTTGGGCGTACTCGACCTTAGGTACTCGGTTCTCGACCCTTGTACTCAAGAAACATTCTTGTACTTCACGTTTTTGTTAATTTTCGTTTCGGGCGCTGGGTGACGAGTGAAGATTGTATTGCTCAACCTTGAACATAACGCCACCTGACACAGCGGTTTCACAATATATGAGTCTTTAACACATACAGAATGCTTACCGTTCCCCGGGTACAACTACAAGGAGCCTTTGAGCTAGTCTAGTTTCCGCCTCAGCAGATTTTACTCTAGGAAATGGTAGCGCTGTTATGATCCGAGCTCATGCTCCTTGAGCGTAGCAGCACGTGGACTGACACTGACAGAGGGTTTCTTGCACTTTTTTGTAGATTTTTCATAGTTGACGTTTTCGGCGACTTATGATATGCAATTTTTTAGGCCAAAAAAGAGTTCTGGTTCTGGTTTTCCAACCGACCCTAATTATTCGGCGCAACCCTAAAATCTTTATCGGCAAGTTAGAAAAAATAATTTTAGTTTCAAATGAAAAAAACCCTGTTGTCTTTTCGGTCTTCCTTACACTACACAGTTCACGCACGCAGCTCTACAGCTGTATACGTCGTTAAAACATCGATGCTGCAGTAAGATTTCCAGAGCTCGATCTCTTGTCTATTTTTTCAGTGTTCATGACTTTAATATGAGGTTGTATTGCTCGTAGGCCGTAATTCGAAATGCTTTTGCAGACATTGGATGTTTGTCAAAGCAGTCTTCCAAAAGTCCTTGGCATATTAATTATCTGCGACAACCGGGAAGGTTTAAAATCTACCCTTAATGCGTTGTCCGGAAACGAGCGATTCAACGCGTTATTGCACGGAAACGTAGCGACCAAGTCTCATTGTAAGAGATTCCTGTACGAAACTACAAACTACGGACGCATAAATGCCCATCCTTGGTACCGCGTTATTGAGTTAATTTATCGTTGAAACAGGGAAGCATACACTGGATAACACTAATTTCAAAAATAAAATTATCCCCCAAACACAACGATAACGCTTTGTGGAAACACTGATTTCAATGATAATATATCTCTGAAATGCACACTTCAAAGATAAGGTATCTCTAAAACACGGAATTCAACGATAATGTATTTCGGAAAACCGGAACCAACTGCACAACACCAGGGTATCTTTTATTTTATCACAAAAATACAACAAATCATACAATTAAACTTGATGTATGGAACAATCAACAGTCAACATTGCGTGTAAAGATGCACCTTTTTATAACCGTATTTCCCCGTGACGTTTTGGGGTCACCGGTATGTAATACACAATGAGTGTTTCTGGAATCGGCGAAAAAGCTGCTCGCAGAAACCCATTTTGGGGACATGTTTTCGATGATGAATGAGAAAACTGTGCTATTTATTCGTGTTAATTTTGGAGGATAGTCTTGTCATCTGTTGTTTATAGGTTATAGTTGGGGGAAGTGGATTCTTTACCCTGCCTCGTTGCTATTATTGCTTGACTGAAGTGCTTGAATGATGTGAATTCAATATATTTGTATTGCTATAGCCAATACGCTGAGTAAATATCACAGTAATGTAATGTACCGATGTACCGATGTTGGTAACATATTTAAATTTAATTTTATTCATGTTTGAATCAACATAGCATTCGCTTATGTATATATAGCTCAATTCAGCATCACCTATTTATGTTTAAAACTCGCTCATTCAGTACATTTGATATTTTTAAACATCATAGTAACAGCATCATGTTGATAGTTTCAAGTTAAAATGATGGAGCTAACATGATACATCATACAAATATTATACCAAAACATTTGACATGTTCTTCAAACATTTTATGGATGTTTGAGTTGGCACAACTATTGTTGAATGTCAAATATTGAAATGGGGCCTCATGTTGTCGGTCGGATTGGGCACAAAGAGTTCAGTATTTAGGGGACTGCATATTTCATAGCATTATGGAACCTTACTTTGAGCTTTTTGAGTATTATGGGAATATGACTTCATAAAAACATGGCTCTAAAGTTTCGAAAAAATCATAAAGATGTCATAAAAATGTTTGTAAAACCATGCCACTACAGTATAAAGAAAACATCATTTAAAAATATGACAACACTGCCATTGAAACATCTTTTCACGCTATTTAAACATTAGAAAGACGTTGTGCCAAAATTATCCCTTAAATGTCATGAAAACGTTTCTATGACTATGTCACCATAAAAATTTTTGTAGTCTATACGTTATTAAAACGTCAATGTGTTTGCTGGGTAGAGATTCAAAATCAATGATGTGTTTTTGCGACAGCAAGACGCGAGAATGCGCTGTTGACGGCGTAAGTGGCTATATACGGACCCAGTGCGGGCGTTTCACAATAGTCCAACTCCAAGATGCAACATGTTGGCCAGTCACAATGAGCGAAAGGTTTCGACCTTTTCCATTCGCGCCTTGCCGGTCGACACGTCCGTTGTAGACGGTAAATCCGTCCTCCAGTAAAACTGTCGGGGGGAGGGACAGAATTACCGACAGGTAAAAGCGCCCCACTGGCCAAATCAGTCCCCCTTAAGGTAATTTTGCCCCCCCCCCCTCTTTTGCCACACAGAAGTTGTAATTTTCGTGTTGGGTTTACGAATTCAGTCGACATGAAATGCAGTTAGGTCTTTTTGGCCCTTCATCAAGTTGTCAAAATCGGAGGAATGTGAGATGTAAAATCAACTGAGCTATGTTTCAAATGGGAAAAGGTAGCAATCCGTGTTCTGCAGACCTCTTACACGCGTAGTAATTCTCAGTTTTGCAGCAGCGCCGCATGGGGATTACACGTACAACGACGGCTCAAATTTCTCATCTGGCATCTTGCCATCTCGTCGAGCCGCAACGCACGAATCATGGTCGAAGGATTGTCCAGGATAGCACTCCTCATCCAATGGCCGTGCTTTGACTTAACGAGCATTCAAGAAAAAGCACGCTGTCTGTCCAAACGCTGCGCGGGAAAGCAGTTGAAATAAACTGATTTACAGTCTGGGTCAGACTTGTGGCATCTCACGGGAGACACATTTCCCGGGGGGGGGACAAGTTTACCGTTTAGTAAGGGGGACAAATTTACCTGGAGGGGGACAAATTTACCCAGGTAAAACACTTTTACTGGGATGCAATTCGTTAAAAGTGTCCGGGGACATTTACTGGGGGGAACAGTTTTAACGTTTTCTCTTGGCGGCAGACTACATGCATTGTGAAACACCCATATTAACAATGGCACACATGCGACACGTTAGTAATGGCATTCCGCACCGTTTACATGCGCGCTTTCCCATGAGCGTCGAGCTGGATCAAGAGAGGGCGTGATTTTCCTATCAACGGAGGCTCATTTAGTCGGAACTGAACTTAGCTTGTGCACGAACGAGTATGAATGCAAGCGTTACGGTCGCCTCGCACCAACACAATAGGACACTCTCCACCGATATGGCTCTTTTCAACCAATGAGGGGGTGCTTCTGCTCGAGGCGGATAGGCTTTGATATACCCGTGTCCCACCTCACTGCTATGGGAACGCGCGCGTTGTCGATTTTGTATGGATTTGAGGTAAAATCGAAAACCAAACCAAAAGGTGATATTTCTGCAAACTTTGGCCGCCCACATAAATTGCATGCAAAGGGACAGTGGTCTATAGTGTTTGGTCCCAATCATCGGGTTCGTTCAACCGACAGTATCCTGAGTGTCTACTAGAAGTGAAGTGGCCGCAATCGCTGGCTAAGGGTTGCAGGCAAGTAATTAAGCTCCAAATTGCCTGCGCGACCAAATCACAATTCGCATGTCCTCAAAGACTAAAATGGTGTGGAAGCCACCATCAGCAGGACTGCAAGTTACTTATGAGAAACCTTAACAAAACAGAAATCTCCCCATGGCTCTATTTAGGTGTCAGTTTTCAAAATAGCTATGGGCTTCCAGACTATAGTGTAGGGACGGCCTTATGCTTGTGGGATGGGAATATCTTCAAAGTCAGTGGTTAATCAAGCAAAAAAGAACAGGAAAAAGAGAGACCAGGAAATCAGCTTAAATAAGTGTGACTCTTGAACGCCCGAGAAACCAAGGCAGCTTATTTACTAATCTGCAACCATTTGAACGAGTGATGTTACATGCAGCCGCCCCATAACTCTTGGACACTGCCCGAGAAGGCTCGGTGGTCGCACAGCTCTCTCGTGGTTGCTCCTTCAAAATCCGGGATTATATTCACAGGCAGTGTGATGACTATATTGTCACCTTGGGTTCAGCGCTAAATTTACGCGCCAAGGAAAGGAGCCACTTTTCGATTTCACTTGATTCTTTGAGTATAGGGTTCTTATCTCCTCTAATGCCATTGCAATTTCCTGTCCACCTTTGTAATCGATTGAGGGAAAATGGACCCCTCAAACACGATTTCACCTTGCACTGAGACGGGCCAGCTGCATCAGGCCTTTTCTTGTAGATAAGATCGGTAATGCCAGTAGGACGAAATTAACGAAAGGATCCATCTGGTTTGTCTGTACTGGACCCAGGGAGTCCACAATAGCAGAAGACAGCCTTCAAATCATCCCCATTATTGGCAGCGAAAACTCTCTTGACAGTGGTAATTGGAGTATACCGCTTCCAGATTCTGATCAAGCTTTGAAGGATGTGAGATTTAAAGTTCATTTTACCATTGAATTCAGGAACAGCTGATTTCGGCGTGTTATTGACGGAGAGCTGTCCTCGTGTCGAACAGGGGCAGCCTCCGTAATAGATGGAGAATGAATATGCAAATCCCCCAGGACGCCTTGAATGAAGAATTTAATTTATAACAGAGTGTCTGTTGTATGCGGCTTACCATTCCTACGGGAATTATGAATGATAGTACCGATATGAACGGTGTTGGGTTACGGTAAGAAATGAAGGAAAGAAATATAGCTACACTACAGTAATTTATGTCATGGAGCTTTGATTAGTCCCGGCTAGTTCTACACCCACACAATAATAAAATGCACACTGAAGTCAATCCATCGGTCCTGTATACGGACCTCTCCAGTGGTAAAAATAACAGTGTCCCTCAGCCGATATTGCGTCGATTGCCAGAAGGTTCAGTTGCCAACGCAATTTGCTGTAGCAAACAAGCAATCGGAAGCAGACAGTTTTCTTTTCTTAGGAAATTTGAAACTCAGTTGTGGGGACGAAAACTGTCCTTGCGACGAATTTGTCACCACAGCTACGGCGCCAGTATGGGGAGGGTGTTTTCTCACGCTGCATGTTGGTCAGCAATCTCCTAACGGTTTCCTGGTAACGGTCTCATTCTCCTCAAATCACGTTCAACAAAACGGCGGAATTTACGCGTCTACATTTCTCATTAGAACAACTAGTGATTTTTCACTTGTTAGACTTTGATACGTTGGTGTTTCCCCAAGTCGTTCTCGGTAACACTGTGAAGGATAGGGAATCATCCCGTCAATGGTGAACGTTCAAGAAATTGGCCATTAGTTTGTAGTTAATAACTCGTCTGTTTTGTGTTATCTCAAGCTTTCATTTGAAGGCAGTGTATATAGGATTTGCAAGGTCTCAAAAACGGGACTGTCGAATTATCTTGAAATATCTTACTGTAAAGTAATTACATAATAGTGTCAGACAATCTGTGAAATCTTAACGCCAGGAATGCTGTCATTTTCAAGAAAAGAGAAATGTTCTGTTATTTTCCAAAGCGCGTCCGTTGGGAAATACAATTCGTGCAAATATCGCAACCGATAACGGGCGCAACAAAAATGTGTGAAGCATTGACCTGCTGGAAGAGTCTATATCAACGGGTAATACAGTAACTGTCAACGCCTTCGGTAAGCCTAAATTAATTAACTAAAGAAATAATACATAATCGTGACTGACAGTCTGAAGGATAATTTCGACTGGCTTAAGATTTAAGTTTGGTAGTTTACCTTAAGTAAATATATCATCTCGCTACCACTCTTTAAGATAATGGTATGGTCCACTGGCCGTTCCTTCGGAGCTCAGAACCGAAGCGTGGCTTCCTCGAACAAAACCTCCAATTTCGAGACATTTAGCTTTCTGTTTTCCAATAACCGTAACTCTCATGCCCAAAATACAAGGAGTTTTACCACATTTGTTTAGTAAGTGTTTTAAATGGGCACTGACGGTGTGTGGACAGTTTTTGACCTACGTATGTACGTGTGGAGAGCGAATAGTGACTGTGTGGTCGATCGTGCACGTGTACATATTCACATGTACATGTACATGGTTGCGCAGTGACTGAGGTGACTGCAGTCACTTTACTGCCCGATGAAACAACGTTTATTCGACAGATTCTCGGCGTTGTATTGTTGAAGAGGAAAACAAACTTGAAGGTAAATTTGCTAACAACTAGTACTACGCGAAGCCATGGAAAAGTGCATTTTTGAAGGCCGTAATCGGTCTGCAGATCGACCTCGCCTGTGCATTAAGGGACGTCCTGTGGCCCATGGATTTTTGCGAAACAAATTACACGGGCTGCGCTTCGAGGGTTAATTAATGTCGATAACAAACCAAAACGCAAGGATTCTATTTCACTAGAGGCAGTGTACAGTATTAGCATTTTCAGCAATTTGTCAAAATTGGCCGATTTGGGGGCCTGTGATTTACTTTGCGTATCATTTCACGAACTGTTTTAATTTGTTGAGATCACGTGTGCTTTGTGAAACATCGATTAAAACGCTGTTCATTTTTAACCCTGATGGTCGTCTTGTTATATTTTGAGTACGTGAAACAGAGACTTAGCCACCGCTATTCTCATGAAGCCCACTACCGCTAACACCTTCACCAGCACGTTTTCGAGGCCTATGCTTCTGTAATAAGTGGACGCAAAATATTACGACATGCAAATTTCTTTTGACCATCACACGCAGGCCCCAACAGGCTGCCTTGCATGGGATTGCATGTACACTGTGTTGGGAATGTTAACATTTAAGACTTAAAGGTTTTCATGGTGAAAGGAACTAGATTTATAGTAAAGATTGCGGTAACACCATGTATTTATCTCTTCTTTGAGTATGTGTGGTTCTGAGAAGAACCGGGGAATAACTCAACGTTTCGAACAGTGTACTCTGTCCGTCTTCAGGAGACTTCCTGAAGACGGACAGAGTACACTGTTCGAAACGTCGAAATGTAGAAAAAAAATTAGGGGACGTAGGGAGCAGAACTAAAGAAAAATAGCAAACCCCGGTGAATTGCCAGTTGTAAAAGGAGATCGTTTACGGCCGACGAAGAATTGCATTGCGCGCTAGTCTTCACTCGTATACTTAAATTATCGTAGTTATCGCCTTGACTAAAGGCTAATAACCGCATATTTCGCACGTGAAGGCTTCGAATGTGTAAGATAGGGTAATTGAACTAATTTTACTCACGTTCGTCTGAGCTGATCATACATTATTGGATTCATTTCCCCCAGGAACCGAGCAGATTGTGTCGCTGGCTGCGGTGTCAGTCCACCGGTGCTGCCTCGTAGTGCGACCCTTCACAGCTCAGAAGATGACACTGCGTTGGGCCCTGATCTTCATTTCTATGACATGGGCCTACTCCTTGATCGTATCCCTTCCTCCAGCCATGGGATGGAACTCTTATGTCTTGGAAGGAACTGGGACAGGTTGGTGTTTTTTCCTGTGCTATTGCTGCCTTGGCGTTAACTTAACAACACATCAATAACGCTTGAATTATGTGAAATGTTAACCAAGAACGTATTCTGCAGTGTCTACTCCTTTTAAATTTAATTTCACGTCTCTTTTTGTATACTCTTCACCCGAGGACGCTGCAGCTGTTAGTCATTCCAGAAAGACACTGTTCATGGGGAGGGGGTCATTTCAACTTGTGAAGAGAAAATTTGGTCAATGGAGATAATCTGAGAAAACGTTGTTCTCTTGATTACATTCATGGAGTGAACCAGTCCATTGGGGCGCATAGATATGCACTAGTGAGCCAATGGCCAGTCCACTTGCGCATATTACCTGCCTGTTTGTTTCGCGAAGATCGGGTTCGCTATCAGCAATCCGAGGTTGGTTCACTGATACCAAAACCCGTCTAATGGACGGCGCGAACCAGCCTTGAGGCTACTGATCGAGATTGCTGGTTCATAATTCTGATTGGCTAAAACACGGTCACGCGGGGTTAACTAACAGGCTAAGTTCAATGATGACCTAGCCACAAATGAAGAATGCTAATCCTACCTCGATTAAAACTGGCATTTAAAGTAATCTCACTCTTTTTTGGACGATCCATCTAAATATCGAAATCAACTTCCAATTTGCATTTTAAAAATAAATTACCGAACTAAAAGACCCTGAAAAAAAAAACGCTAAAAGATTTTAACCGAGGGATGTTTTGTCGAAGTCAAACTTCATCGCATCGGCATAGTTCAGGTTTTTGTTGTCTGTAGTGCCCATCAAGTTGAGGTCATTTAGAATGTCAAGACCCTTGGAGCAAGCCTCACTGTCTGAGTGATGGCCATAGGCAGTTGTTCTGAGACTTCGCCTAGATTGTCCATCGGTTGGAGAAAAGATCTGTCCCCAGCGGGCTTTGATTAGACCCTACTCTTGTGCCCGTCCAAGCAACATTAAGCCAGTGCTAACGCACGCCACTGGCACTTTCCGGAATGTCATTTGCTCAGCAGACTTGGCAATTACGTCGTGGATCTTTGCTCTTTTTTTGGAGAGGAATCTGAAATTTGCGCGCTCAGATGCCATTACGTCTGTCTAATGGAACAACCCACCGTACCAAACCCTACAAGCTTAGCGCAACAACCTCAAGCGTCGAATAAGATGCCAAACCGAATAGTATCCCATAAACAAACAACGAAAGTTTACTTTCGAAAAAATTCGTGTATTTGTGTTTCTTTTTGCAAAATGACAGGAAAAAAATGCAATAAACTATGACACACACAAAATGAAGTATTTTCGGCTTGTAGAAGTTTACCACCCAGAACTAACAAAAAAGAGAGGCTTCACAAAGAGACTTTGCTTAATGGTCATCATGAATATTTTAAATTTCTTACTTCTCTCAAAGTCATTCAGTATAATGAATGTTTATGAATACAGTGGTAAGAATCTCATGGAGGTTATAGATTGTTATATTCCATGGAGCGAAGTGCAATAGAACATCCAGTCCAATTATACAACTCTAGAAACTTCTGGATATTTTCCTTGTGTTTATATAAATCGCTATTTTCCTTTCTCAGACCGACATAAAATTGTGACACGTAGTTATCATGTTTTGAATCCTTTCAAAGGCGGATCTAGAGGCCTATCTTCCCCCCCCAAAAAAAAGAGGGGAGGCGATATTTTGGTATATTTCATCCTTCTCCCTCGGAAAAGGGTCTGAAAAGCCTCCAAAGGTAGCCTCAGCCCTCAGAAAGGCCGGTTCAAAAATTTGTGACTCCCCACTGAAAGAAAAAAAAAAAGATTCCCCAGAAAATTTAGTTTTGAACCCGCCCCTGAATCACTTGATGTTTTAAGAGATCATATCTAATTGGTCTCTTTATTTGAGAAGCATACACTTTGCTTACGAGTGCAGAAATCTCTCAGTGCGCTGTGCTGGCGTGCGCGTTGGTTTGACTAAAATGAGCCCCTTCACTGTTACATTTACACAATTTGTGTGGTATTCTCCATGAAGTTGAATTATTTGATGTCACATGATCTGCAGTTCGCCAGTCATAATTACGACAGAGAATCAGGTTCAGTATAAACACACCTAGTAGCTTTATTCTTGTGACAGCTATGAAAATTCACCAGCTTCGTCCCAACGGGCTCCGTGAACGTCCCTTCACTAGCGCCGGGTCGCGTCATACCGGTCATCTGGAAAAACAACACCGACTGGCCATTCATTTTAATGTAAATCGCTCTGCGCTCGCATGTGGTGAATATATGGTGCGCGCAGTTGACTGTAGACTACACATTGATATCCAACCTTGTTACCATTGTTACAAGCTTAGTTTGCTTCCAAGCAACCTCGTCTCCCTGGTGCCGAGCAGTGTGCCCCAATGGCTACCAGCTCTCACCCTTGGATTGAATCGTTTGCATATCCAACAATCTTGGATACGTATGTAAATGAATAGTCTGGTGCCTGGCCATGCGTTCGTTTCAGAGTGCACTCTCTGGTACTAACACATCACAGAGTAAATTCTCCGTGGCCTGTTAAATGGAGGAACGTGATTTTTTTTCAACGATAAAGAAACAAAATCTCATTCGACTAATTTACCAAATTTATGATTTTAATCAAAATGAAGAAGAGAGGATGGTTTAGAAGGAGAAACTGGATGTAATAACTGCAGCGAACAGGACACGAGATAAATCGTTTTCTCGCTAATTGTCCATCGAATCAGAATACGGGAAGAAAGTTTGTTTTAAAGGGGTTATTTTTGGAAGCAAAACTGGAAATAAACTTAAATATTAAGGAAGCAGTGGAGATGAGGTTGGGTTCTCACACCAGCAATACTGACTAATGTTGAGAGATCTGTGGTCTGGTTGCAGCCTCGGTAACGTGACTAAAAAGGGAGGAATTCCTTTCGGTTACAAAACTTTCCGAAATTGGCCGACCCATTTCTAATGCGAATCTATTTCTTTGATAATTCAATAATATCTGCAAATATTGGGCTTGGATGCTTTTCTTTGCCGAATTCCTGCATGCATCATTTTAAAACAGTCACCCAAATGTATATATTTTTGTGCATATTGGTCTCAACTTTTGCATCAACTCTGATTATGCCGACTATAAAAAAACCGGAATTTAATTTGTTTGCTGCATCAGAAGATGGAAGGGACATCCTAGGCATGTAGCCACTTGAATTTGCCCCCTTTCTCCCCTAACACGTGACTCTTTGCACATCCATTCCACAAGGAACCGTAAAAATGGCACCCAATCCATCGAGTTATTAAACTTGCCGTAGCTCTGTCATTGTGCCACAATTATTGGAAAGTCATCGTAGCACAGCATAATTGCTGGTGCGTCGAACATGCAGCCGATCAAGTCGTTTGTTCTTGTAATATCTATGGGCTCTATTGTCGAGGACTCTTTTAAAGATTCAAATGCCTTTAATGTCATAAAACCTTTTTTGGTTTTTAACACCAGGCCTTCAATTTCCGTTATAAAGAGGACGACCGAGGCACGCATATCGAAGCAGCACAGGTCCACGCAGTTCAGCGAGAGAAGAAAATAGCACGGAGTCGATTCGGCTATAATTGAATTCGATTGGGTGTTCGATTTATCAATTGGCTGTAACAAATGCCCTACCTGAAAAGCCGAAACACAATATGCATGTTTGTGTGGTAAACTATTGGTTGAAAAAGGAAGTTTAGGATACAACTGATGCTTGGGCGAACTGGTAATTTCTTCTCCCAGTGAAAAATATCACTACAAAAATTGAGAAGAAAATCCTAAAAGGAACATTTTTCATGGCCTTGTTGATAGGCAGCAACGTCAGCTGCCGCTTGATTTATTTTGAATCTAAAATGAGTCCATCCCTTGATTTGATTTCAAACTTCGAATATTAAATTAATCGGAGCAGCTCTGTCAAAGAGCCGGATACAGACGAGTTTAATTTAAGCAAGGCGACGTATACCTGACCCCAAGCTCCCTAGAAAGAGCATTAGATCGGTTGAATTAAATGTCAACAAGAAAGGTAGAGCCTACGTTTAAGCCACCGTAAGCTGTCAATTCCGTCACCGTTTTCCCAGACCGAAGCGCGAGTAGGCTTACTGTGTAAGGCTACAATTTTTTAAACTCTCCTGTGTAGAGACACTTTGCGAAATCGGCGTAACAAACAATTTGGGTAACAAGAACTGACATCTGGGTGTGTAAACTGACAAACAAGTCCGATGTAGCGGCTGTTACCTAAAGGAGAAAAACAGGTGAAAGGATTTTCCACAATTTAGTGTATCCATTGAGGGTTTGAGAAAAAGTGTATGCCTCGAAATATTTTACCTTGGAAAATTCCAAATACTTGTGTGGATGCAGTGCTGGTTACAGGTCGTGAAAACAATATTACTCAGTTCCTTAACCTTCAAAGAGCCAGGAGCGGAATTTGCCCTCTCCCCGACATATTTTTTTCAGGAGTTAAGCCTTTAGGAGTTTTTAGAGTAACTCTTTCCAGTCATTTTCAGTCAAAATTGGCAAAAAGAATTAGGCCTATCCTCACTGTATATAAGTAATGATTTATTTCTATTTGAGATCAAGTTGAAAAACCGAAATTCAGAAAAACTGTTCCAATATTGAGACTGAGCAAAATGGGAAAATGACACAATCGTGGAACTTATTAAATGAAGGAACATAAAAAATGGATAGATGAAAAAGTACAAGCTGGCTTAGACTGATTTTGACCAGTAAAAAATAAGCATTATATAGTGATATTTGGTCTAGAAATTACATACAAAGTGCAAAATGTTCATGGACCATGGCCACTGACAAAATTGTAAAATATAGGTGGGGAATAAATTATACGGTGTGGGTAAAACGGATAAAAGCTAAAAGATATAGGCACGGTGCAACCTGCTCTCTCTACAGAGTTCACCTGTTTGAAGAATACACAGTGAAGTAATTCACAGATATGTAATAGTCGTTAAGCCTAATATGAAATAGTCAATGTGCTTCGTGTACAAA